GGGGGAGACAGTGATGGGGGGAGGGGCTGGCACCTTAACCCCGCCTCCTCCCGTGGGCCTCTGCTCAGGCAGGTCCTTATGCCCGGGGGCGTGGGGGAGCGCGGGGGCCCGGGCCCGGGGGGCGGGCATGCCAGGGTCAGCCCCCACCTCTCACCGACGCGCGCTCCGTGGCCGCTTCCCGGGCTGCAAAGCACCACGGAAAGCGGCAGCAGGACCGCCCCCCCTGCGCGGGGCATGCTGGGAGCTTAGCCATTGGGGAAGAAAGGAGCGACGCCGCAGTGTACGGCGGGAGGTGTAGGTCGCTTGGGCGGACGGGGGCTGCAGTGTGCTGTCCGGTGCATGCTGGGAAATGTAGTCCTTCCCCCTCCCCTGACGGGAGACCTGGCTGCAAGGGGCGCCCCCTGCCGGGGCTTGTCTAGAGGGGCGTGGCCTGCCTGGAGGGGGCGGGGCGCACCCTGCCGGCAGGGGGCGCTGCAGCACAGTCCAGCGCTCCCCAAGGGGCTAGAATCGTCGTAGGCCGTCTTGGCCAATGGGAGCCAGTCGTGGGGACTGGTCTCAACCAATACGACTGTGGGGGGGACACACTGGGGGGCTTTGCAACGGCCCATCCATTGAGACCCACGAGAGGGGGCGAGCAGGACCCCGTCCCCGCTCAACCGGGCCATTTAACCCTTTGCAGCCTGGAGCTCCAGGGCCCAGGCGAGGCCTTGCCCAGCCGGGGGCACCGTCCAGCCAGGGGGGTGCATGGGGCTGGGGGGGGCGGGGGATACCCTCCTGCCCTCTGCCCCCACGCCCCTGGCCGGCAGAAATCTTGGGGTCACAGAGAAGCGGGGCTGGACGGGACCTCCCGGAGCAGACCAGATCTAGCTGCACAAACTAGATCTCACTTGTCAGCCTAGCTCTCCCAGATCCCGGGCTACAGAGCACCGGTTCCCCCTGCTAATGGAGGGTACGGGTCACTTGCTGCCTTGGGGCAGCAAAAGCACAAAGCAGGGCCGGCAGCGAGGGTCTTGGCAAGGGGGACCTGAGCAAAGCGTACCGGGCAGCCCCCGCCGGCCCTCCAACGGCTCCGAGGAGCCAGGGACACCGCCCGCCCGGAGAGGTGAACGGGCGAGGGACCGGAGAGCGGCCCCGTCAGATACATGCTGGGTCGATGGCTCTGTGGATGAGCCGCCGGCCGAGGGCCCCAGGGGCTTGTGGCATCAGGGTGGCGTCACCACGGCCCCTCATCCTCGCTGAGGGCATCCTGCCTCATGGCATCCGGGCAGGATGGGATGGCGGCGAGCACGTAAAGCTGGGGTCCCTGGCTGCTCGCATGCTGCGATGGTGCAGTGGGGCCTGCCAAGGGAGGGACCAAGGTCCAGGGGGTACCAGGGACTGCCCTTGCGCAGGACCCAGCGGACATAGGCCCGGGTGGCCTTGACCTCATTGCACCCGCGGCATGGGCAGCACCATGCGCCAGGCCAGCCCCTGCCTGGCACAGAGGAGCTGAGCAGGAGCCAGGCAGATTACAATGATGCGCTCCCTGCCCTGCTGCTGGGGTAGAAATGCCCCTGCTACTGCCAGGGCCCTGCACTGCCCAGTGGGGGCAGGAACCCAGGGGCCCGGAGATCTCCCTGCCCCCACACCTGTGGGATGAATGGGGGGGGGGGGCTTGGCCCAGCCTCCCACTCCCAACCCTCCACACCTCTGTGATGAGTTGAAGGGTCTCTGCCTAGCCCCCCAGCCCCCTCTCACCTATGCAATAAGGTTGGGGGCGGGGCTCAGCCCAGACCAACCCCCCATATCTCCAATGAATTGAAGGGGGTCTCAGCCCAGCGCCCCCCCACACCAATGTGCTGAGTCCTGGGGGGCAGCCCAGACCCACCCCACAGCTGTGATGAGTTGAAGGGGGTCTCAGCCCAGCCCCCAACCCCTCCCTCACACCAATTCGGGGGGGGG